TTGGTTTTAAAAAAAAGTAACCTATGCCTATTGTTATTCTGTTCAATCAAGTTTTGTATATCTAATACAAAATACCCATCCCTATAAACTAACTATACATGGTTGGAAGTTACATCTTAAAATCCCACATGTGATTGATGGGAATTATCAAATCAACTCACCAAACTTTTTTTTTTTGGGTCAAATTTCAATTGCATTCATACAAGCGGTGCCTTCTTTTTATATATATAGATTTTGCCACAAGAAACAACCATGCGATGATGATTCACGTAAAATCAAACTAACATGCAATGACGTGAAACACAAGCAACAAGACGCTAACACAGCGCAGTCCAATGACCAAAGCAAGCAGATAAATTATCATAACAAATACCCATGTACCCAAAATGCCCTTTTGATGTGATGGTTTTGTGAAAAATGACCCTAGAAATTCGTCGTCCTGCCATCTAGATTCATAACCCTTCAGTTCATGGCGAGAAATTCCAGCAAGTACTCTGGAATAGGAAGGAATTCAAGCTCTATTCAGCCCATGGATTCCTTGCAACGTCGGGTTTCTCGCGTTATCTTCAATCAACAATGGATCATTGCCATTCTCTGCAATTCACGCAGTCAAGGATCGAATGCACCTTTGAATGAATTTAGAAACATACAACAATGCGTTTCTGCATTAGCATACAACACATATTAACACATGTAACCGTCAAAACCAACATCTCGCTGATAAGGTTTTAGTAACCGAAAACCCAGATTGTATTCCTCAACAAGTGAAATACAACGTTTGAGAGCTATTCGAGAGGCTCCACTCTCCCATTCCCCACACTTTTCTCAAAACATTCGATACCCTCCCCAAATGAAAGAGAAAACTATATAAAGACCCTCATCGCAACAAACTGCTGATGTGGCCATACTATAGCAGACAACCCATAACCGAAAAGAGAATATTGCCTCATTGTATTGTTCCTCTCTCAAAAATCTGTACATGCGATGTGAATCAGCATTCGCATATTGCTCCTTCTCCAAAATACGAAAGGGTTTATCAATACCCCGCCCTGTAGACAAAGCTTGTCCTTAAGCTTGAAATCGAAAAACTGACCAACGAAGGTCTCTGCACCCTCCCAAGTGGCCTTGTGGCTTTGAAGTCCGAGCCACTCCAATTCATATTTAATTGAGCCACTCCATTAGCGCTTCCAACATGTCTTGAATTTGGATTTTATCTTCTACATTGATGATCCTCTCGATAAACGATCTCTCTAATGTAGAAACTTGGCTCATTTTCTCCTTTAAATCATCTACATCTTCCTTTTGGCCCACAACATGATGCATGTCCTGTTTGAACTTTTTAATTGTCAATGCCTCCTGTTCGATTGAATCAATTGACGACAATTGAGAGTTTATCTTCACGTATAGAATAACCATCTTATTGTCCCTTGCTACGAATGAATGTTTCATAGCGTAAAAGGATTCTTTCCTCTGTGTTTCTTCAGAATCTGCCTTCATCATCCTCTTATATCCTCATGACAGTTTGTCAATACTCCTCCTGTTGAATTTCCAGCTTGTCCTCAAGCTGCTCATTAGGGCGATATTCTTGATTGAACATATATTCACAGAACTGTCAACTAATTTGGACGGCACCTCAAGCTCGTCCTCTTTACAACCCAATAACGATGTCCTCATACTAACTTGATTTGTCAAATTCGCAGCGAAATCGTTCTTCTTAGCCCTCTCAAAACACGTCTCTAGAGTGTTGCCAAAGCTCAAAGTATGGATATTCTGCCCGATGCACTTCATTGTCAGGTTTGAGTTGATCCTGATAACCATGTACCAGTCATTACTCAGCACTTTCCCAAGCTGAATTCCTGAATAAACAAACACCAGGGATTGTCCGATCATGATGTAACCGACGCCGAGGGGTAGAATCTTCATCAAGTCGGTACCCATCCCCATTTTCTGCTGAGAACAAGTCTTGCTCAAGTTGGGAAACGTCGAGATGGTTCGAACCGAGTTGAGGATTCGGGAAACAGACTCCAATCGCCATGGCTGAAGACTAGAGTGGTGACAACCCTGTGTCAACTCCTTATCACTAGAGGCAAATCCCTTGTTCAACACGTACCAGAAGACCTGGCCTTTTATCGGCATTTCGTCGAACAGTTTCCTGGCAAACTCAAACTCAGCCTTCATCCCATACCCAGAGATCGTGGTGTTGTCGAGGACATAACTTCGGTAGTTGAAAACATAAAGAACAATATTACCTCGCCCGTCAAACCCATAAAAGCTCCCAACGATGTTCCAAGCCCATGTGTCGGTATCTCTAGAGTTTACGGAAGGGTTGGTCCGAACAAGCAGATTGGTGTTGCCTATTGATTCCAGAGCCGACCCCGTACCCAGAAAACTCCCATAAGTCCGTGATGTCGGTGGCTTGGACTGTAACTCCAGTCTCGACGATGACGGAATCCCGACTATTGACTTAAATGATAGATCCGCCGATCCCCAACAGTCTGGTGGGGTCTTGATAATCTTGATACCCACACCCACCCACAGCCTCTGTAGAACCCGGTTTTTACACTGGTGGCTCTGATAGTATTTTTCTTTGCAGGAGAAACAGAGATAGCGTTACTGGCAGTCCTCCAACTTGTTATCCGTCAGTCGGCGAGCTCGTGGCTTCAGAGCCTCTAGACCTGCGCGATAAACCAGAGGCGAGTGTAAGGGATATGGGTTTTTCAGTCGACGGCTAAAGCCTTCCCTTATCCCCGTCGATTCTCCGATAGTGGTAGATAAAAACACAGTACAAAAAGGAGTTGCCGATGAAGAAGGTTGACTAATATGGGCCTCAGTGTGCTTGGGCCCAGTGAAAACCAAACACAGTGGGTCGCCTTCCAACTGAAGAGCTAGGGTTATCGGATGTTCAATGTCGGTGGGCTGGAACAAATCAATGAAGTCGCGTAACTCCGTTGTCAGCCCGTTCCCGAAAGCCCCCAACAACACAAATTTTGACCGATCAGGGGGCAGTGGGGGAATCTCCTTGAAAGAGCGCAAAAAATCCTTGACGGCGGTGTGTTGCTGTATGTCGAATAGACGGTCGAGAACCCATCTTATAAATTTCGCGTCGAATCGTTCCCGTATGCGGAACTTGAAATCACGCCAATTCACTAAGGGTCGATGGGGATGCTGCCAGTTGAACCAAGGTAAAACATCACCATCCATGCTCAACGCCGCAAACGTGAGTCTCTCCCCCTCCGGAATCTTCCTAAGCTGAAAATATTGTTCAGCCCACGCTATCCATTCTGCAATATTAAGACCCTCGCAGATCGGCGTCTCCTTTTTTCGGAGGGTCAGATCTGTACCTGCAATGGTTGGCGCTCCGACGACGGCAGATCTGACAACAATCGGCACCGTTGTCATCACCGACACAAGAGGTGTGCCTGACGAGTCTAAGTTTTGCTCGACAAGTGCCTTCTCTTCGTGCTGCAGCAACTCCGGAGCACTAGAGGCAAGGCCTCCTGAAACCCCAGCAGATGGCGGAAGGATCCCACGATTCTGACGGGTCTCCCTCATGAGGCATAGACGCTCCAGAAGTTTCACCATGGCAGGTAGTTTGCTCACCTCCTTTTGTATCTCCACCAAGCTACTTTGAATGTCGTCCATGTGCGATTCAATCTGGGAAAACTTGGTGTGAAACAAATCCTCCCACTGATCGATTCGCTGATCTTCCATGGCTGGATCCCTTTGCTCTGATACCAATTTGATAAGGTTTTAGTAACCGAAAACCCAGATTGTATTCCTCAACAAGTGAAATACAACGTTTGAGAGCTATTCGAGAGGCTCCACTCTCCCATTCCCCACACTTTTCTCAAAACATTCGATACCCTCCCCAAATAAAAGAGAAAACTATATAAAGACCCTCATCGCAACAAACTGCTGATGTGGCCATACTATAGCAGACAACCCATAACCGAAAAGAGAATATTGCCTCATTGTATTGTTCCTCTCTCAAAAACCTGTACCTGCGATGTGAGTCAGCATTCCCATATTGCTCCTTCTCCAAAATACGAAAGGGTTTATCAATCTCGCCCACATATGTTTCTATAGCAATATAACAAACAAGGTGCAATGAATCTATACACAAGTAAATGGGCTTGGACCAAGTCCAAGTGGGCTGAGAGAGATGGCGCCAAGTCGGATGGGCCATGGAGACCGTTTCCAGGATGAGTCGTGTCGGGTCCGCCCGTAGAGATGTCAAATGGGTTGGGTTAAATGGGTTTTATCCAACCCAACCCAATAATATAACCAAATGAGTTAACCAATTGGATTAGAAGCGGATTGAACCCATTTGGTTTATGTATTAAATAGGTATATCCAAATAAACCCAAATAACTTCAAACCTAAAAACTCATTTTGTTTTTTTTTCTTGCGATTCGACTTTTTTCTTTCCTCCTTAGTACCATTCGGCTTCTTAACGTTATTGCTAAGTCTACATATAAACATTAGTCAGCTAAACATTATTGTTAACTCTACACGTTAATCCATTTGGGTTAATGGGTTTTAACCAATCCGTTTAGATTTTCTCATGTTAACCCAATCCATTAATTTATATTTCCTCCGTTTCAAAATAATTATTGTTTTAGATTATTTCACATTTTTTAAGAAAAGATTGAAAAAGTCGTATATACCCTGATAAAAACAATATTATCATTAATAATTTATTGATATTTAATAAGAATAAAATTGGAAATTATTGTAAATTTATTTTTAAAATATAGGATGACAAATATTTTGAAATATGAAAAATAATCTAAAACTATAAATATTTTGAAACTGAAAGAAATATAATCCAAATGATTTCCAATCAAATGGGTTGGATTATCAACCCTATCCGCCCGGATTAGGTTATCTTTATCCTCGTATTTTTATTCGTTATTGACGCCTTGGCCTATCACTTCCTATCGATCATTTATTAAGAATACAAATTTATATATTGCCAGTACTACCCACAAAAATATAAATTTGAATACCAAAAGCATACAGGGAAAAAATTAAGTGATATATTTTTAATTTTTCTCTATATAGATTACGTGATGTAAATTTTGTAAAGTCTCCGTATCTATCTTCTCTTGGTTAGTTAATTAAATTTTGTACTAGTTGCCATTCATCTTTTTTTACCCTCTGGTAAATCCAAAAAGCCAGACAAGAACACGAATATGTCGAATTCAACGGATGAAACCCTAGAAGACGAGCGGGACGATCACAACTCGTACCGGAGTCAGCAGGCCGAGCCGTCGCAGGCATGGGAGACGATGGCTCGGGCGTGGGTCAGTGCCTTCCCGGAGGCCAAGGCCGTGAGCCCCGGCGAAGTTGAGACGTGGATCGGCTCGAACCTCGGCTATCGGCTCGACCCTCGGCTCTTTGCCGGCCGATCTCCGCTCTATGCCTCGGTCGGAGCTTATCGATCGTCTCCTCTCGATCCAGCATTACATGAGACCGTCGTCGAAGCAGAGCGAGGTGCGTCGAAGAACTGTTCGATTCTTTGTCATTGTCAGTGTCAGTGTTGTGGCTCTGATATCTGCATGACCTTGAACATGAGCTTGGAAATGTGAATTTCTAGGTGGAATGGGAGTTTTTGTCTTTGGAATGGGAGTTTAGATTTTGTGTTCTGAGACTGAGGAAGTTGTGTTGTTGATTATAAACCAAGAGTCGTAGCTTCTCACGGTGGGAGATGAGTTGCCATATAGATCCAGAGAGTTATATGTTTTTGTCTTGCAATCTTCACCGGAAAGTTTGAACGTGAAGAAGGAGAGATGATCGGTGGAATGATGAGCTGAAAACGTGAAGCTAAGACCATGTTTTGTGGTGAATGTCAAGGTTATGTGCTCAAAGAATCATGGGGTGGAGTTGTAGAAAAATATGAAATTCCTCCATGAAAATGAACATTCTGGAAACGATAGATATATCAATAGTCATGTGGTTAAATTCATGAAATGTTCAAAACCTCTTGTCTTCAGCGCTTTTCTTGTTGCTCAGAAAATTTTCTTGCACCTTTCGACTCTCTGAGATTGGTTTTGGTTTGCCTACTGTTTTGTCTTCTCTAAAGCAGCAAAAAGAGACAGCAACAGGCCAACCGGATCATCATCCTGCTAGGTTCCAACGGACCGACCAGTGGTTGCCAGTTTATTCCTGGTTAGAATCTTTGGATCATGACGAGTTGGTAAAATCAAAAGACATCAACAACTGGCTTGATGCCAATCCAGAGGTCAAAGAAGAGCTGTTTTCCAGGCATTCCCGTTACCATTTGACTCATTACATCAAGAAATGTCATCTCAAGATACTTAAAAGGAAGGAGAAGAAGGTGTTCTTACTTTCTTCTCATTGGATTTTGTAGTGGATATATCGTATTTTCTTCGAGTAATATTTGGTGATCGGTCAAGCCATGTTGAAGGATTTAGATTAGTCGACATACTTTCTGAATTTTCTTAGTGTTTCAATTAATATAAACCCTGTTTTATCTTTGAAACCGCTTCATGTTTTTAACCAGGGGTTAGTTCAGCTGAGCAAAGAAGTTCATAAAGATTTTGCCGAGAAACAGCCCATGACGTTTTCTGGTATGCCCATTTCCTCTCTATTCTATTGATCTCATAACACATTGTGGACAACAAAACAAAGGTTTTCCTGATCTCGCTGAGAGAAAGACATTGATTGGAGAGGAACATTTCATCATGTGATGCACAGTGGTATCTCGGTGGCAATATTATGAAGCATAAAACTTTGATAGTAACGAGCTCTTTGTAAATATCGGAAATGGGGATAAAGGATTCCACTTGTTTCATGTTTTTTTTATGCCAGTCTCTGTTAAAAATTGTAATGCATGGACATGCTAACGAAGAAACAAACATCTTTCGATTTTCCATCGCATAACCACATCTCAATTCTTTTACAGTCATCCTCCTTCATCGGTTATTTAGCAGGTTTATGATGCAATCACTTCTTTCTTTGGTACAATGTGTAGTCGATCCGCTGAGCAACATACCAAAAGACAGTGATCTGTACCGGACGAAACAGAAAGAAGCTCAACGCAGATTTGAGATGTAAGTGAAACCATCAAAAGCTGTCTATGATTTTGATCGAAAATGTTAAGGTATAAGGTCTTATCAACCGTCGTCATGTTTTAATCCGCCTTCACGTGAATCATTTTCAGCTTAGTAGAGCTCGAGAAGAGACTTGCTCCGCATTTCTCTAGGCCTCGGAATCAGATAGCAAACAGATGAAGCAATCAATGGAAGCATAAACCAGAAGCTAGTTTCGGAACTTCCCTGTCGATAGTCTTGTGTAAGAATGTAATCCCTTTATGTTCTCAAGCTCAGTTTCTTGCATTGTAGAATCGATCTGGAGGTCCTGAGGTGTCCAACACAGTTGGAACTTGGAACTAGTTCGACTCAGATTTCAGATTCAGAACTTTTCATTTCTTAAAACCAGAAGGCCTTACAAACACTCGGCATGTTTTTACTTCACTTGGCCGAAGTTGAATTGGGTTCGCCAACGAAAACCCGAATCAGCTCAAACCAATCTAAACCAAATAAAATTGAGTCTAAACCGGAAAGTAATAGTGGTACTGAAAGCGTCATCTCTCAATCTCTCTCCAAACAGATTACGATTATTAATCATCTAAGGTTAAAACCCTCTAATGGCATTTCCGTAATATTCAAGGAAGATTAGTGGCATTATATGAGTTCCGTAATATTTAAGGAAGAATAATATTTAGTTTTGTTTTTAGATTTTAGATTTTAAATATAAAATTATTAAAAAAGGTTTTTTCATGTATGTATAAAGTAAAATTTTCTTTAGAATTATGAGTATTTTTGCCTTTTAAATATTTATATAATTAATATTTAATAGAAAATGAAAAAATTTATTAACAAATGAGATTTTTTTTTATATAAAATCTTGTTTTTTGTTTTTTGTTTTAATTTTTTAAGAAAAAGGTTATTCGGATTTTAAAAAAAAAGTAAAACATAAAATTTTAATTGGATATTTTTTGGGTTTTTAAAAACTAAAAATTGGAAAGATTCCAAGTCAAATCCTAAATCTTGTTCTTATTATTAATTGATCCACAATCGGATTTTCGAATACCCCGAATTATTAAGATATTCCCAAATCGATTAATTTCCCCCTATTTTCGTTTACTTTCATTTTGTTTAAAATAAAACTGACGCATGGCGGAAATTCCAATGCCGATGCTTCTTCAACAACTTCTTCAACTGCCCCTTGAAACCATCACGGATATTGTCTCACCGCATCGAACGAGAAGTTAATCGAACTTCGTATCTTTCCGCGGTTCTCGGAAGGTAAACATGATCAGGATGATCTGAATCTTATTCTTTCTCCGTCTCTTTGATTGATTTCACAGTGTTAATGCATGGAGTTTCCACTCGCGCGTTACCAGGGCATACCTTTGGATCAGATTCAGAACAGTTGTAGTGGTAGTGGCTTTCCTTTTCTGTATTCTAATCCCAAGGATTTCTATTTGTCGCGACATTATCTGCTCTCTGGGTACGGATTATCGCTCTGTCGGAAGAAATGGAAGAACCCATTTGGGAGAATCATGTGTTCTTCTTCTTTAGTTGAACAGCTGAAACCCAAACCCAAACCCATACCCAAGCCGAAGCCGAAACGAGAATCGGATAGAGTTGACGCGGAAGAGGTTGAACATCCAGTTTTGGAGGATGCCCAGATCAGGAAATCTAGTTTGAGGATCTGTAGTCAGATAGAGAAGTTAGTGTTGTGTAACAGATTCAGGGAGGCGTTTGAATTGTTTGAGATTTTGGAGATACGAGGTTGTCTCCAGATCGATGTTAGAACTTATGATGCATTGGTGACGGCATGTATCGGATTGAGATCCATTCGATGTGTCCAAAGGGTTTTCGAATATATGATAAACAGTGGGTTTGAGCCGGATCAACCCATGATGAACAGGATCCTGTTGATGCATGTGAAATGTGGGATGATGATTGAAGCTCGTAGATTGTTCGATGAAATGCCCGAAAGAAACTTGGTCTCCTTCAACAACATTATTGTGGGTTTAGTTGGGTTTGGTAATTATCTAGAGGCTTTCCGACTGTTTCAGATGATGTGGGAGGAGTTTTCCGAGTGCGATCCCCGGACATTTGCGATGATGTTTAGTGCAGCGGCTGGGTTAGGGTCTGTCCATGCTGGGAAACAGTTACATGCTTGTGTAGTGAAAACGGGAGTTGGTGATGATACTTTTGTCTCATGTGCATTGATCGATATGTATGGTAAGTGCGGGTGCATTGAGGATGCTCAACATGTTTTTGATGATATGCCCGAGAAAACTACTGTTGGTTGGAACAACCTTGTAAAAGGTTATGCTCTCCATGGTTATAGCGAAGAAGCTCTGTGTTTGTTGTATGAGATGCGGGATTCTGGTGCTTGTATGGATCCGTTTACTTTTTCCATAGTGGTAGGAATTTGTACGAGGTTGGCTAAGCTTGAGCTCACTAAGCAAGCTCATGCAAGCTTAATTCGTCGTGGGTTTGGATCAGATTTGGTGTTAAATTCGGCTCTTATGGATTTCTATAGCAAATGGGGTAGAGTAGATGCTGCAAGAAATGTTTTTGATAAAATGCCATACAAGAATCTAATTTCGTGGAATACTTTGATGTTCGGATACGCACATCATGGTAGAGGAGCCAAAGCTGTCAAATTGTTCGAGAAGATGCTTACCGAGAGAGTAGCTCCAAACCACGTTACATTCCTTGCAGTTTTATCGGCTTGTGCCAATTCAGGTTCATTCGAACTTGGTTGGGATATTTTTCAATCAATGATGGAGGATCATAAGATCAAACCTAGGGCAATGCACTTTGCATGCATGATCGAGCTGTTGGGCAGAGAAGGTTTATTAGATGAAGCCTTTGCTTTGATCAGAAGGGCTCCTTTCAAACCCACGACTAATATGTGGGCTGCTCTGTTAGACGCATGTAGAGCACTCGGTAACATAGAGCTCGGCAGATTGGCTGCTGAAAAACTATATGGAATGGGGCCCGAGAAGCTCGGAAATTATGTTGTATTGTTGAATTTATACAACAGTACCGGCAAGATAGAGGAAGCGGCAGGAGTTCTGAAGACATTGAGGAATAAAGGTTTGACAATTATGCCGGCTTGTAGTTGGGTCGAGGTCAGAGATCAGACACATTGTTTTCTTTCGGGAGACGGGTGTGATGTGTATGGTGAGACAGTGAAAAGGTATTCTCATTGCATTGTTTGTCATCCAAGTCTGAATTTCCAGTCTCCCTGCTATCGTACTTGTTACCGGACAACTAACTGATCTTCTAAATGATGTCTCAGGCAAATATACCAGAAACTCGATGATCTAATGGAAGAAATTTATGAAAACGGGTACTTACCAGACGAAGAAAAAACCCTTTTCCCGGATGTGGATGAGAACGAAGAACGGGTCTTGAGATATCACAGCGAGAAACTGGCGCTAGCATACGGGTTGATCAACACGCCCGGGTGGAAACCATTGCAGATAACTCAGAACCATAGGATGTGCAATGATTGCCATAAGATGGTGAAGTATGTATCTTTTGTGACCAGAAGAGAGATTGTGGTTAGAGATGCAAGTAAGTTTCACCATTTCAAAGAAGGCCAGTGTTCTTGTGGTGGTTATTGGTAAATAGGATGGTGTAGAATTTGGTTTGCTCATTCGAGCAAGGTATGATAAGGCTGAACCGGACTGGTTTTGTTTGGTTTAGATAAACCGGTTATACATATAGAGAGAGAGATTCCGGTATAAAACTTTTTGTTAGATTTTCTCATGATTGAAAATAAACATACGAGGGATGTTACATGAAGGTTATCGAATAGTGAATGGATGATTCTCTTTTCAGTGAATAAGTCCATATAAAGAAAATTTAATTCGTAAATGTTTTTTTTTTCCGTCAGCCACCGAACATGACAAAAAAAGATGGGTTTTCTATGCTCGCATTAGATGAATCACGCCATTGATGGTGAGGTTCCTTTTTTGGGGTTTAATGTATAAATCATGTATCCATTTGTTTGCATTAAGAACAAAATGATCAAATTCTTATAAGAAATACTCCTGCGTAAAATATGGTCAACTGTGAAAAATTATCATCATCATCATTATTATTATCTTGTCATCTTTTGGATATTTAATATTACTATTATTATTGCAATCCTAAAATGATAAATTCTATAATAGAATATAATAAGGGTAATATCCAATGAGTATGTTGTGGTTTCTTTTAAACCTATTCATTTTATATTTTTTTAGAGATAATTCCATTTAAAGTTATGTACTTTTACCTCGTCGCAATTTAAATCCTATATTTTTTATCCAAAAAAACATTGAACTTTTAAAAATTAGCAATTAAAACTCTGTACCTTTAAAAATTGGTAAATAAAACCCTAAACAAAAAAAAAATATTATTTAATACTGACATGACATCCTAGTCACATGCCACATCATCAATTCCTAATATTTAATAATATTAATTAATAAAAAATAAAAAAAGAATATTAATAAAAATAAAATTTTAAAAATTATATACATTCATAAAAATTATACACGTATAGAAACATATTTATAAAAATTTTAAAATTATATACATATATAAACATATTTATATATACATATATATACATATGATACATATATATCTATATATGTGTATAATTATATGTTTTATATGTATGTGTTATATATGTATTTTTCTCTAAAAAGCATTATATATATATGTATGATTTTTAGGAAAAAAATCATATATCACACATACATAAAACATATTTATATATACACATATATCTATATAATACATACATACATATATATATATATGTATATATAAATATATTTTATATGTATGTATGATATATGCATGTTTTCCTAAAAATCATATATATATATATATATATATATATATATAATATATGTGACATATGCATGATTTTTAGAAAAAAAAAATATCATATATACGTATAAAACATATATATATATATATATATTATTATATATATACGTGTGTCATGCCCTCAAGTATAGTTCTCTTCTTGAGGACATGGTCTCTATTGATTTTTTAAAAAATTAAATTCTTATTCAGAAAATTAATAAAAGAGATATAATTAAAACATTTGCTATTAATTGATAGATGAATTTACTACGACCTTCTTTACATTGAATTTGATATAAAAAAAAATACTTAGATTTTACCTTGACAGCAAGAGCACACGTGTCCAATCTTTTTCAAATCTAAGACATTGCATTAATCAATATTACATCCCATCACGTTCTTTTTAACTGTGATATATACTTTCTAATAATCATATTTGGTTTATAATTATTGAAATTATGATCAAATAATATATTTGTTTTTTCTTTATTAAATATGTCAGATATTTTTGGATAATATAAAATGTAGTAAAACATAAAATATGTAATTAACGGGAGAATCTATATTTTTTTAATATTCTTCTTATTCTAATTCTAATAATCAAAGTCACAATTGAAATCGTATATATAAAAAGGTACATTATATCATACACTCAAAACCATAAATAAAAATAGTTACTTTTTTCTAGAATATGAAAGATTTTTTTAGTCAACAGAATAATCAATTGTCAAATAAATAATAGGAGAATGCCACGTATTTATCCGTACATGAATGGCAAGAGTCAACATCAACTGATAATTAATCAAAGATACCATGTATGCCTATATATATATATATATTTCTTCTGGTGTCGGTCCCAAAAGCAAGGTGGATAGGAAGAAGCTTGAATCGTACACCATCAGTCACCAACAAAGTTATCAACGGTACCATCAGTGATATAGTTGTTTGAATTTATGTATTTATTTTGCATGATTTTGGGTTTAAGTATTAACGATAGATGTATATAAATAGAAAAAATGTCCGGAAATTGTTGGTACCCGAGGCATATGAGCGTCTAATTCTCAACACGTAAGTATTCTATATAACCTTATTGTTTATATTTTTTTATACGGTCTTTCACCGTTCCATATTTTTATTCGGATCGATAATAGAGAAAGAGATGGAGAATCATTAGATTTCACATTATTCAACATATAACATTACAATATTTATAGCAGAAAACAAAATCATAAAATATCTTATTTAATAAATATAAATATCTAAAATATAGAAATAAAACCAAATCTAAATATTACGTAATCTTCTCAAATCTTCTTCATATCTCTTTATACGCCCCCTCAAACTCAAGGAGATGAGAAACAACTGCTTGAAGTTGAATTCTCCAGAAAATAACGGGATTTGACAATCGAACATAGGAACCGGTGGATTGTTGACGGATCTGAAAAAGTCCGGTGAAGCAGAAGCGTGGTGCACATGCACGGTATTGTGGTATAGTGCGACAGCAATGTCGGCAGCGCAAAAGGCGCGATGGTTTAGCGGTTATGCCGGAAATAGAAAATAAATTGTGCAAATGCACGCGGCTAAAGCCGAAAAAAGAAAAAAGAAAAAAAAGAAGATGGCGCAAATGTGCGGATCGACGATGGAGTATTCCAATCGAAGAGGCTAAAAGCCGGATTCAAAGGCTGATGTGGCACGGATGTGCGGCGCATATGCGCGAGTTAGGTTGCATGAAAATGAGGTCGGCATAAAAAAAAAGAGTAGCACATCGGCTAGGGTTGACAGTGATAAACACCGTCGTCAGGAAAAAAAAATAGAAAAAAAAATGAATAGAAGACGATACTCAAATTGATGATACTATTGGAGTTAGTATATCATCGTCATCTTCACCGTCGTTTTCGGATTCAACGAACATCGTTGATATAAAAAAAATATTTAGAACAAAAACCGAAGCTCTGATACCATAATAGAGAAAGAGATGGAGAATCATTAGATTTCACATTATTCAACATATAACATTACAATATTTATAGAGAAAACAAAATCATAAAATATCTTATTTAATAAATATAAATATCTAAAATATAGAAATAAAACCAAATCTAAATATTACGTAATCTTCTCAAATCTTCTTCATATCTCTTTATAATCGATACTAAAAAATTTGTTTATATACGATAAATATAGCTGGATTCTTTCGATCAATTGTAATTTTTGAACTATTCGATTCATTCTTTCTATAGAATCCGAGGGGATCAACAACATTTCGTTCGCCGATTTGTTTTAGGAAAAATTTCAGAAGCTTTGATAGATTTTACTAATATATGGGTTTTCACATTATTTTCGGACAGGTCGCATGGGAGATATTCACTCCGTTGCTTCACAAAATGGACGAGTGGGAGTTGAAACCCATTCCATATAAAACAGTAGGCACGGTATCAAAGACAAGTAATTTCGCATATTTTATTATGTGTACAAGAGTACATTTAAATAGATACATGTGAGAGGGAGATTAGGTGAGGTGGAGAGAGAATCATGCACAAAGATTTCAATCTCGTAACAATAGTCCTATGATAAAGGGAATTTCCTATTCCGAGAAGATTTCAATTTCTAATATCTCTAATACGTCCCGTCAAGACGGAGCATCGGAGACGAGTCCGATCTTGACACAGAGATTCAAGAACGATGAGCGAGGTAACGACTTCGTCAGGGTATCAACAAGTTGGTCCTTTGAGCTAACATGGAGAACTATGAGAGAACCGATTGTCACTTGGTCACGGACGAAGAGATAGTCCAAAGCCAAGTGTTTCATGCGGGAGTGAAACACGGGATTTGCACTTAGGTAGGTTGCACCAATGTTGTCGCGGTAAATGGTCGGTGTCAGCTGTAATGGAATGCCAAGTTCGGAGAGTAGCGACATGATCCATGTGAGCTCAGCGGAAGTATTGGCTATCGACCGATATTCGGCTTCAGTGGACGATCGGGAATGCCCGGTAAGTTTCTTCGATGACCATGATATGGGATGTTTGCCAAGATAAACAACAAAGGCTTCGGTTGATGTAAAGTCTCCCGGGTCTCCTGCCCAATCGGCATCACTAAAGGCGTGGAGAGAGATCGAGTTCTTGGAGGAGAAGAAGATACCTGTGTTGCGGGTGCCGGAGAGATACCATAATATACGCTTCGCTGCTGTCCAGTGTTCATCAGTTGGAGCATGCATGAATTGTTACAATTTATTAACGGCAAAGCTGATGTCCGGTCTTGTGAAGGCTAAATATTGCAGACTTCCGATGACAGTTCGAAATTCGTTTGCTTCCGATAACGGATTGCCCGACGTTGGTGTGAGCCGTGAGGTTGAAGCCATGGGGGTTGTCACAGGTTTTGAGTCGAGCATGTTCGTCCGATGCAAGAGCTCCGTGATGTATTTGCGTTGATTTAGAAACAGGCCTTGTTCATTACGATTTGCTTCGACACCAAGGAAAAAGGACAGATTTCCTAGATCCTTGATGGAGAAGCGACCGGCTACCGCTGTAATGACAGCTTGAATATGAGGTTGCGAACTTCCGGTAACAATGAGGTCGTCGATATACACGAGCACAAAGGTACAGGCGACATCTGTACGGTGAACGAAGAGGGACGTGTCAGCCATTGAGTTCAAGAAGCCATGATCCAATAAGAATCCTCGAAGTTCCGAATACCAAGCTCTAGGAGCTTGTCGAATGTCGTAAATAGCTTTCTGTAGCTTGCAAACGTACGAGGGCCGATCTTTGTCGACAAATCCGGGAGGTTGAGACATATAAACCTCATCGGAGAGACGTCCTTGTAGGAACGCATTGTTGACGTCGAGTTGTCGGATGTGCCAACCGTGAGTGATAGCTAGAGTGAGGACAAGGCGGACAGTTGTAGGCTTGACGACGGGGCTGAATGTCTTGTGGAAGTCAATACCCGGTCGTTGGTGAAAACCTTTTGCCACGAGCCGTGC